GACCCCACCCCCATGTCATGCGTGACGTCCAGAATTCAGCAGGTTATATCGTCATCATCTTCGACATCATTCCGAGAAAATCCTTATGTCCCATCACTGGTGAGCTATTTTTAGAACAAGCCAACACGCTAGTAGTACCCAATATAATATGGACACCCAAGATCTGTGGGTTTCTGCGCCCAAGTAGGATGCTATGGAAGGCTTGGCTGTCCATTTACAGTAGTGATGTCACATGTCTCCAGTTTCCAGTACGGGTAATCATAAGCCTGTCACGATAACCATTAATTCAACTTATCGCTCAAAATAGATTTTGTTTTTCTTGGAGACACATTCTAAACTTCAGTCGTACAAGCAAACTTAGAACCTGTTCTATGCACTCTATTAAATGAGGCCCTAGCTTACGACGCGCCATGGTGAAAACCTTTGGCCAACAGACTTCAGTTGCGGTTAAGACCAGAAGCTGGAGCGTGTCGGTGGTGTCAGCTCATGTATCAATGTGCGCACCTCTTTTTGTTTTCTTTTACAGTTTGTTCAATAAACCGATTGAAATGTCCACCGGCAGCTGTGTCTCTCCTTCACCACTTGCAGGGGTATTACAATACGTTCTAACTAGCAGTGGTAGGCTAAACCAAATGAGCTAACATCCACGTGTTATCTTTTGTTGGCAGTCGTGGAGGTGCTGTTGTGGTAGACATTTGCACTTTATCTTCCCTGTTAAGTGTGAAATCATCCCAAACTTTGGACAATCTCTGTCTTGGTCTCTCTGCTCGCCATCGTTCCACCAACTTAGTTCTCCATCAAAAGATGACTTCAGTAAACAGGCTGTGTGGTAAAATTACGACAGTAAAGCTGTGAGGCAGAGAAACTGCTTTGTCTTTCTTTGTAAGACTGGCATGCCCTGATACACTTCATAGGATGGACTTCTAACGTCGCTATTGCTCTTGCGCATTGTTGAACAAATTACGCATCATTCGTAGTTACAAACGGCACTTCCCTAAAAGTTGCAGAAGCAAAACCAGGCATGTGTCCGCTCTCAGCTCAGCAGGCTTTGTGAAAAGGGCAGACACGTCTAGATCGGATCTAGATCGCGAGTAAAACATGTGTGTTCAAGGTCACATCCAGTCGCTGGCAAGGACTCCAAAAATCTATTTAAAAAAAATATATCCAGGAATTTATTTCGCTTAACATAAGGGCTACAGGATATCAGCAATTACCCAGGCCCGTAAAACATGAGGCCCAGCAGCTGAAGGAGCTGTCTCTCTTTGTCGTTTCATGTCTTGATGAGGGCTGTTTGGAAGGAATGCGTTTAGAAAGCGTCGCAGCAGGAATGGGAGTGCAAAACAGCCGCAGGTGATAAGATCACAACACCCGCATGGCAGATAAAAATGCTGAGCTGTCAAATCAATCACACAGATAGGAAGAGGACACAGCTAGGGGGGACCGCCGGAGATCACCTGACCGGCAACAAGGCAATAGCGCCGCACAGCAGGAGTCTCTAGACAATGGGGGCCCTAACCTATACATGATCATTTCACTCCAAGCAATACAAGGCCCAACGACCTCTCGCTCATAAAATAATAGTGGAACACTTTATTGGCCGCCAATGGCTACAATACAAGAGCTTTAGTTCTAATTACCTTTTACAACCCATGGCAAACGAGTCGCATGGCATGAAGAACTTCACAGACTAATCACAAGAACAGATTTGTTCGTAAATATATGAAAAAAAATATTTCTAATACTCAGCTGAGTAGTAAAGACTTCTTTGAGAGCAAGGCTTGATGTTAATATATTAAAAAAAGGGGGGGGGGGCAGGGACATATAGACAACAGTCAAGCTCCATGTACGTGGGGCCTCTTGGCAAAGTCAAATCTTCTCACCCTCTTGCCACCTTTCCTTCACCTTGATTGGAATACATCATGGATTTAAGGTGAAATGAAAAGGTGTTTACTTTTGAACTTAAGAAAGGACAGCACTGTTTGAAATGAATTTGACTCCACTTTTCCAAACTGACGTCATCATGATCGTGCAATGGCAAGTATTGCTGACCCAAGTTATAGCTTGCGGACCTCAACTGCAAAATATTTGCTTCACAATAAAATGAAAGAAGTATCTTTCCAAATCAGACAGAGATTCTATCCAGGTAAAGTATTTCTTCAAGGATAAAAAAAAAAAAAGATGCCGTTTTTGTGAAGGATCTTCTGAAGATGTTTAACATTTGTTTTGGATTTGCCCATTCCCTAACATATCATGAAAACGACATTGTTAATTTTGCTCTGAAAATATATTGTTTGACTTCATATACTAATGGAAAAGCGCTCATTTGAATTTTTGACAATGAAGTTAAACAATACATGGAGACCATTGAACACTCCGCGAATAAGAAAGGCATTACATTCATGGCTCCATGTTCCCTTTTGTAATTCTGTCCTCGGGCCACCGATGCTATGGCACACCCTGGCGATTGGGTTTGTAGGTATTTTCTGAATAAGTATTAAACATTAGTCAGAATGCATTCGTCGTCTCTAAATATCTGCATGGAAAAAAAACACTTCCAACCATTGTAGGCCATAAATATAAAATGATCCAGTCGAAAAACTGTAAGTACAGTGGCAATTGAGTGTGCCTTATTGTTCAATGTGACAACATACTGTAGTTGAAGTTCAAAACCTGTCACAAACCGAGGAATGGTGACTAGCTACTTGGACGATGAACTATATGCAGCAGAAAGCAAAATGATTGATGCAAAAGAGGACAGAGTGGACCAAAGCCTTTACCAGGGACTCGGTATCAGTGCCATTTAACAAGTTCACATCAGGGTGTTTGTAAATACTAAATCCCATCACCCGGTGGCATGACACCCATCTTGTGACAAGTTTTAGTGCACAGATCACATTAAATTAAATTGATTCAGAACTTATGTAATCAGACCTTGTAAAAATATATAACAGTAAAAAAAAAAAAAAAAAAAGAAGTACAAAAGAATGGTGACGGCTGCTGCAATGTTCCGTATCCCGCTCCCTTTGCGTTTCTATGAATCATACACCCAGCAAGACAGGTGGTGGAATCCTAGCAACAATATTTGGATCACTTCGCCATCTTAGCTGCCGCCATTACGCAGAGAGGAACAAACCACAGCACATCTCGTAGGCCCTGTCGCAGTGTTTCCCAACGTGCGGGCCCTGTGGCTGCTGCCACTATTGATGACAAGCACGTGGGGGGGTTGGGTTGACTGAGAGTAACAGTGACCACAAATGATTCTGACAGTTTAAATGCCATTTGGTGGACTTTCCAAAAATACATTTCCTATTGAGATCAATTATACTAGAATCAATTGCGAGTCCACTGCTGCGGTCCTCCAACCTTTATCTACATTAGAGGCAGTGTTTGAACAAACATTTTTACACTATTTGCCGTAGTATAAAATAACAAAACCCTGAAATATGAATATTACAAACAATAAAACACAATTTCGTCTAACAAGTCCAATACAGTAATCACCCACTGTCATGGGAAAGAAAAAAAAATACACACAGAAACAATACAATATCGGTTGATCCCCAATAAAAATCAGATGGCAGCTCGCGGAAAAAAACGAAACAAGCGATCGACGCCTTCGCTTAGTGCTCCTTCTGAAACTGCACGACTCAAATACACACGGCCTTAAAAACTAAATAGCTTCTTCTTGGAAGTCTCATGCACTTTCCCAGCCTTCACGTATTCCTGGAGGGATTCTTTGGGAATAGTCTGCACTTCCATGTCTTCAAAACGAACACTATGAAAAGAGTGAGGTTTTTTTCCCCAAACACTCCAGCACAGCGATGTTGAATGGGAAACAACTTGCGAGTTTGTGTTTGAAATATATCTTTGGTGGCATCAGTACTGAAACTTTCCTGATACACCTGGCACGTCCATCGACCTTTGCTTCCAGAGCAAAAGATGGACCCGCACCCACATGCACCAATTCAGGTATGTTACATAAACGGGCAGTTCAAGGACAAAAGCATCTGTGCAACGTACAGCCACCCCGCCTTCTGCGAGGCTTGTAATGAAGAGATTTAGAACATGGGTGTGTTTGACACATTCAAAGCGTGACAGTGTAAATGGCTGAGGGGCAAAGAGAAATAAAGGCAGGAGCATATGACTTCCTCTGTGACAAATACATTATCAAAAGACACAAAACAGTGTTGATGCATTGCGCACAAGCGCACACAGAGGGAAATGGCGTGAAAAGGAAATGTGATCATTGTGTGACCGTGGCTGCAATGCGAAACAGCGTACAGTTGACTGTGAATGGGGCCTGGCAGGTACTTTATGAATGGAGGGGATCATGTGACCGCAGCACCTCCCGAAGCAGATATTTCTCACTGACTGTCAACAAGAGCGCACAAGGGATCAGCGGTGTAAAACCATACCCCCCCCCCCTCCAAAAAAAAAAAAAAAAAAACGACAGGAAATTCGGGACACGAAATCATCACCCCTTTATCCGACGTGCTTCATCGATTTACGGGACGCGTTTGTTACGTTCGGGCGTCATTTTAAAGCAATTTTATGAATGGAGATATGTAAATGAGCGTGATTGAAGAAAAAAATATATCTTCCGCCTTTTGGAAATGAAACATTCACTAGGCGTTTATTGTCATTTCTTTACGACGACGATATCCTGGTTGTTTGTTCTTGGGCGTATGAATGCTTTAAAAAAATTGCGTTTGTCGTCCGTGTCCTATCTTCTACATGATTTTAATACACGTTTCCTCGAGGATTTTAAACGAATTTCACGCCATAATGAGCGAGAATTGTTGAAGATTATACTCACGACGACACACATTCACGCCATTCAAAAATACACATTATACATTCACATATTACCCGTGTCGTTTTTATGAAGCGTTTTTACTCGTGTCGTTTTTATGAAGCGCCACACGTCACAAACGCGTAACAGAAACATGAAAGGGTAAAAAAAAATGGTTACGGTGTTAATGGTGGGAATTTGTACTCACTCGTTTTTTGGATTTGTTGAATCTTCACTCATTTTCTTCCTCACGGGGATCCGAGTCCTAGCACTAGCATCGACGGCGCTGTGACGGCGGGACAAAATAGCACAAAATTCACCATTTTCCTCCACATACGTACAACCGAGCCGTGTTTTCGTTTGGTGTTGCTTAAGGGTGGGGTGCTCGGTAAAAAAGGGTAAGAATGCTCCCCCTCGATGAAGGAAAAATTGGGGGAAAAAAGAAAAGAAGTGGAGCTAGCGTTAGCCGTTAAATTGCGAGGAGGAAGAATGACAATTTCTCCTTCTCCTCCCTGGAAGTAAAATCCGACCATGACACAAAATTAGCCATCTTCTTTTCCAAACAAGCTCCGCTTTGGTGGGGAGATAAAACAAAAATGATAAAAAATAAAATTCCCCTCGCTGCGTGGATGTATATATCCTCAAAAAAAGCCCGTCACGTTCGGCGGCGTAACAGTTGTGGCTGGCTGTCGAGCATCCATTCGCCAACTTGAAGGCTCTCCGGGACGACACTTGAAGCAGCGCCTTGTTGGAAAGCCAGCCTCGCTCCGCCAACGTGTCCGACTAATGTCCGTTTCAAGGCAACCTCGACGCCCGGAAGGGAACTGGAAGGGAGGGAGGGATAAGGGAGTCGAACCACAAAATTGGGTTTCTCCACAAACGCGCGTTAGAAGGGAGATGAAAAAAGGTTTTTAATTTCCCCCCCCAGAAGTTGGCGAACAACTGCTGTAATCGAACTCCATTTTCAACACGGGGAGGGGAGGCATCGGAAAACTGGGCGGATGTGTCGACTCGCTCTCTCTGAGAGGGAGGGGCGGGGGGGTGAGAGAGAGGGAGAGAGAGAGAGAGAGAGAGAGAGAGAGAGAGAGAGAGAGAGAATTAAATCCTTCCGCAGTGTGCGAGAAAATGTTGAATTTCAACGCACCGCCCGTCGACGTCGGTTATTTCCGATAAACTGTCTGTCATCCTGACTACTGAAGCGTCACATTTTCGACAAACGACACGCGACAAGCGCGTGTTTCCGCAGTTGACGTAAACTAGTCCCGGTGGTGATTTTCCCTAAAAGAAGTTTCACTTCAATCACGCATTGCTCCGAGATCGCACGCGCCGTAGACAATATTCCGACCGGAAGGAACTCGATCATTAAACTTGATGTATTTGCTCCATTCTTCCCTTAACACAATCTCTACTTTATTCCACCACTTCCTGGAGAAACATGGAAATCATGTAGGCAGCGAGAGAGTATACAGGCACAACACGTAGAATGACATCAGGTACCATTCATGATTTCTGTGGTCAAAACAAGATAGCTTCAATCCAGGAATGATGCATGAAAAACGTCATGTACACACTTTGCATTATTATTGAGAGAATACAATACAACAAAAAAAGGAGGAATCGCAAAATGTATTATTTGAATGTTTATGCACATAATGTATTCGAGCTGTTTTAACAATGCTACGATCACCATCTTGAACTACAACGTCAATTGGAAGCAGACCAACAAAAACACAATACAGTATATGAAAGCAAAGAACAGGGTGTCATCTGTGTGCGTAAATTAACCTGTGACTGGTTTATGGAGGATGTCATAAAATGGGCGGTCCCACTATCATTCCGGGGATGGGTGGACTTCTCCATTGATGACCTAAAAGGAGGAAACAAATTCCATGATATCAATAAAACATGCAAACTTGGACACTTCTGCACGGAAATAGGCAAAGTATGGCTGGGGGGCGACATCTGGTCCACCCACAGTTTATGACCAACCCTCACAGTGGCTATGAAGTCAAAGTGAAACCTAAATGATATGGTCTTTTTATTTTGAAAGTTGTGCTTTTGCTTTTATTTTATGCGCACACAAGTGGACGCTAGTATAAGCAAGGTAGCTAGAAAGAGCTACGACTTGCGTCTGTAGTGTTTTTAACTTTGCCCTGTTTTTGCTATATTTCGTGAATTTTCTGATTCCTCGAGCAACTATTTTTCCAAAAAAGAAATGAACAAAACTGAAAACGGTGGCCTTCAAGGGGGTGGCACGGTGTAGACTGGTTATAGCACCTCTGCCTCAAAGTACAGAGGTTCAGGGTTCCATTCCTTGCTCAGACCTTCCTGTGTGGAGTTTGAATATTTTCCTTTGCCTGCTTGGGTTTTCTCCGGGTACTCCAGTTTCCTCCCACATTCCCAGAATATGCATGGTAGGTTGATAGAACACTAAATTGTTCTCTGTGTGTTTGTGAGTGTGAATGATTTTTCGTCTATGTGTGCTGGCAACCAGTTCAAGGTGTCCCCTGCCTACTCCCCGATGACAGCAAGGATAGGCTCCAGCACGCCCGGGACCCTCGTTAGGATGAGCGGCTCAGATAATGGATGGTCCTTAATGTTTGTAAAGTCTTATTGGGTGGCTGATGGATATTTTAACGATGATGTGTAAAGGTCGCACGATGCCCGGGGCAAACCGGCATTTTTTTCATGCAATGATACTTTGTTGCTAAGAGTGAATGAGATTATGTTTGCCTTAATACCTTGTTTTGTGGGTCTGATCAAACATCATTGATAGTTTGGCAGAGTATGACATTACAGCCGATCATTGTCATAAAAAGCAAAATACTGCATCTGCCAATCCGATCCAGCCGATCAGATTTGTGTGAAGTGTCCTTATTACAATCGAGCCATCATAGTCAAATTGCCATCGTTCAGTCTCCATTCTATTTCTACACTCTTTGGCAGTCAAACCACACAAGAAGTTCCCAGAAGTACTGTTTTCTAATCGTTTAAAAGATCATTTTCAATTATTTTCGCAAAGCCGACTTGTTGGCCTAGGTTACATAATGTTCAAATATTATTGCATTGCTGTGCGGTGTGTGGAATGGCAAGAGATCAAGCTACAGTAAAAGATTCTGGACGGTTGTCATAGCAACAGCATGTTGTGTGAAAACTTTTTCTTTTTTGATACGCACTTGTGCCACATAAAATGTATCACCCAGACCAAGACTTCATTTTGTATGGAGTGCAGACAGGATCAACTTGATTTTGCATTATCTGCTGGATATTCATGAAATAGTCATTACCATTCAGTCATTTATTTTCCTACTTTCAAGCACAATGATAATGTTCAAATTGAGTATGATTTTTAGAGTTGTATCCAATAATGTTTTCAAAAATGGATAATGGAAGGATGGGAAAATATTGCCCCATTTTTGATGAACTATTGCACCTACTATGCAATACTATTTTAATGTTGATCATGATGGAAGTGCTTGGAGTGATAAGTATTTTTTGAGGTGGCACTTGGTGTGAAGTTTAGGAACCACTTATCGAGCCACTTGATGACTAGGAAGAGAAGGTAACGTAGCAGTCTTTGTCTTCACTCAGTGTTCCTTGTCAACACAAAGCAAGGCATTTGTCCTCAAAAATTTGGTGAATACCAATCCTAGACAGTGGAGGTATATCTGTACATGAAAGGGAAGTCATCAAGCATAAAGCATTTGAGGTTATGAATGTCGTATGTCGGTGACAGACTACAGTGTCTTCCAACATGTGTAGAAGTTTAGACTATATCTCTGCCTTAAGAATGGAACTTTGATGAAATTGGGTCTATTGAGGAGGACTTTGGTCAAATCCAAATCTAGGGTGGTTAAACCACATATTTATAGGGTATATAATGGACCAACAATGCCACTTATTTCCATAGCAAGAAGTGAAGCCACAGGCGGCCATCTTATGTTGCCACTCGCCAAACGTGACTAACTTGAAGACATTGATATCCCTGCACTCTGTCAAACTTGCTATTTTAGATAATTAGTATCAGCATATCAGCGCTGCTAAATTAGTGCCAACGATCTAATTCGTATCTGAAAAGACAGCAAAAATGCCTTTGTTTACATTTGTAAGAGCCAAGGTTCGTGTTTTCTGGACCCCGATAAGTCAGTGGACTTTTTTTCTAGGTGCCAAGAGGTGCGCCTTCAACAAAAGGTGCTGCTTTTGTTTTTAACGTCCCCGCTGAACTCGACAGCCTTATAGCATACCTATGATTATTGTGTGAGTGCCTGCTTTTCTCACAAGGCTACAATTTTTAGATGCCCTAATTGCAGGGTGGTGAGTCATAAAGGTATCGACACTAAAGGAGGAACCGTGAGGGCCCTTTAGGCGTGTTTGACTGGTTCTCTCTTATGAAATGTGACCACTAAGAACATCACATGTACTCATTCGTGTGTTCTGCTAAATGCCTTTGTTTTTCATGCTGCGTTGTATTCCATTTGTAGGCACATGGGTGAAGTTTGTCTTGTGATTGCGATCAAGGATGTTGGTTCGAGAGGGAAGGTCAATACGGTCGAAAAGCCCTTGAGGAAAGCGTATACTTGGAACGGTCTGAGTTCTCAACTCAACTCTCAACTCAACTCAGTTGACTCAGAGTTCTGTGCATAAATAACCAAAAAGTAAAATATGTTGAGCATCTACTTTGTTGCGCGTGATGGGGTTAAACTGATCCTAAATGTACATTTAGATCTCCGTACTGTCTTGTAAAAAAATACACTCAGTCCCACTGACACATTTGGAAGACTGCACTGCCCCCCCCCCTTTACTACTACTTCCATGGTTTGTACGTTGTGCGTGGGTTTGATTGAAACCCGATCCAGCTGGTGGAAGCTGGTGTTTAGGGTGAGGTGGACGGGCCCTGGTGCTGCCTGAGGGGTGTTTATTTGGGCGGCTTCACTCGGCTTCCCTGTAATCATGGTCCAACCCTACAGGATAGAGGGGATAAATGAATATGTTGGAGGGGAAGTTGCAGATGACTGTTTACCATTCTCGTGGGGACGAGAGGGAACAGCATGTAAGGCTTGTGTGCGTGTATGCGTGTGTGTGTGTGTGTGTGTGTGTGTGTGTGTGTGTGTGTGTGTGTGTGTGTGTGTGTGTGTGTGTGTGTGTGTGTGTGTAATGGGGGCCATGTTGAAGCATTTGCAGATGTTTGTGGAATGAACGAAGGGGAACATTCTGACCACCGCAATCTGTTAATGAGCCGGACCCCTGCAAACGACGCATTTGACCAAGAGGGCATCTTGATTTGAATCCAGATTTCAAGATGATGTCCCTCTGGAACGAGTCAATAGTAGAAGTGGGGAACTCCATTTACATGATTTTACAATAAAGTGAAATGAGACTCGTTTTGGACCAGTAAAAAAAAAAAAAAAAAAAACAGTGAGGAAGACTGATGACTTGCTCAACCCAAGTCAGCACTTGACTTGCTTAAAGTTTAGTGGACTTAGGCATTCAGTCCTCTAGCTTAATGCTAATGCTAGTTAGCATCTATGCACACCGACAATACAATACACACATTCATAATATGTATATCCTGTGTGTAAAACAACTAATATTAGTGCCGTACTGATGAGCTGGGAGATGTCATGCAGCGTTGATCTGAATCTTACTTGAGTTCGAGGCAGGAGACGCACCGCTTAAATATGATTGGCTGCTACATCCAGGCAAGATTGCATGCTGCAGCCAATCATTGTGTGAAAGCTGAAGGGTCATTCAAATATCTGTTTTATTCCTCACACATTTTTATATGAATCTCCTTCCACATGATTCATCCGATTGACATCATTCCAACTTCCAACATATTCCGAAAATTCACGGCATGGGGGCTGGATTTTGTTTGACTGTTTATATCTTAGGCGCTGCTGTTTTGGTTCGCAATAGAGGAACAGCAGTTAACTTTTTCCCGTTTTTTGTACTCTTGCAGATCTGGTCGAGGGGTGTGTGTGTTTTGTTGTTGGTTTTTTTTTGTCCTAAGTAGACCAACTGGGGCACGG